ACAATAATTAAAAGCCAACTGCGACTCGCAACTTCTTGCCAGTTTCCCCATGGATTTTGCTGTTTGGAAGCCCACTGTGAAAGTCTCAAACAGCAATCATGTGGCCATGGGACAATGCGACCATCATAAATGTGTCCCCAATGCACAATTACATGATTTTGGGGATGCTGCTATGGCCACAACTTTAAAGATTGCTTGGAAATCTCCTTCCGCAACATCGTAACTTCAAGCGGTCATATATTTATATAATATTTCTAAACCATCCATTTTCTTCAGAAATTAATATTGAGCCTTAATTGTAAATAAACCCATCTTTAATTGAAGAATTCTTCAAGTCTCACAATAGCTGAATTAATTTTTCAATCATTATTGCCTCCCATGCTTTTAAATATTACTCTGTTGGCTTTTGAGGAATCTAAGATTTCAATGCAGCAATTCACATAGTCCATCTACAGTACAGGTAGTTCTCAAATTAATGACAGGCTGCTTAAAATCCCGAAATTATGACAGACACCCCCCCCAAAAAGATACATACAACCCAGTTCTGAAGTCCCCCTCCACATGATCATGAGACTGCATTTCAGGCACTTACCAACCAGCCCACATTTACAGCACCCCACAGTCACATGACAGTAATCTATGACGTTTTTGTCAAAAACTGGCATTTACTTGTTTTGGGTAAAAACGTCCCATAGCGATCAATGAGTTCACTCAATGACCATGGGTTCACTTTAAGACTATAGTGATTCGCTTAATGACCACCGCAAAAGAAGAGGTACTGTAATAAAATTGGGTCAGTCATGTGATGGCCCGCTTTATGACCATTACGACTTATTACCATGAGCAAATTCCATTAAAGTTGTAAATTGAGGACTACCTATTTTCTGTTGCAATTTACTGGTGCGACACTCAGGACTGTTCCTTTTGAAAGTTGCATTTGTTCTTATTAATGCCAGCTTTGTTATAGTAGCAATCCAGGCCATATTGTACAGGTATTGGCGGCTGGCACTGATCCGTAAGACCGAATTAACAGTTGGAATGCTTAATTTATAATTCATATAAATAGCACTTATGAACAGAAACACAGTTCCTGCAACATGGTTCCCAAAGTATTTCCTGCAAGAAATACAATAACCTTTGATTGGGTTAATATATTTTGAAGAAATTGAACAATTTCATTTATTGGATTAGTTTAAGATCAAAGGTTTTCCTAGAACAAGTACAACCAAATATGTGGCAGTGTGTAAGAAGGAAGCACGGCAAGAAGGCTTCATCATAAGTTGCCATCTCAGTATTTCCTCATGTAACATTATAAAAATGCTGTCTTAGAACAAAATATAGTTTTGGTCCACCTCATGCAGTATTGCCTACTCAGTCTAAAGCAATTCTTTCAAGTTGTTAAGACACAGGTTTTCCTAACCACCTCATCCTTGTTTATTTATAACCTTTATAGGTAGTCCTTATGATAGTTGAGCCCAACATTTTTGTTGCTAAGCAAGACAATTAAGTGAGTTGCACCCCATTTTTATAACCTTTTTCCCATAAGCAACTCTCTGCAATTGTTAAGTGAATCATGTGGTTGTTAAATGAAACAGGCTCCCCCCATTAACTTTGTTGGTTGGAAACCAGTTGGGAAGGCTACAAATGGCATGTCCCAGGACAGTGCAAATATCATAAATACATGCCTGTTGCCAAATGCTCCAATTTCGATCACAAGTCCATGGAGATGCTGCAATGGTCATAAGCGTGAAAAATTATCATAAATCACTTTTTTAGAGCTGATGTAACTTTGAACAGACACTAAACTAAACGTAACTATTGAAGAATAAAAGTTGAGGAATACCTGTATATAGGTGCCCCTCTTTTAACCAACTCTGGGTAGCTCTCAATCAAAAGTTAAAACAGCATATTAAAACTGTAAAAATTAAATATGTTAAAAACAAAAACCTGGTGCCAAGTTAAATGTGATGTGTAGTCACTTTATCTTATCCCAACACTTGGAAGTAAAGCCAGGTCTTCAATGCTTTTCAGAAAGCTAAGAGAGCAGAGACCTTCAGGGGGGAAGGCTGTTCCATTGAGCAGAGGCTACCACACAAAGTTCCCATAAGATGGCAATATTTAGAGTGACTAGAAGTATGCCCACCGTATCCGATCTAGTAGCATAGGTAGATGTCCTTAGGGCAGCGATGGTGAATTTCTGATATGCATACCAAAGGTGACATGCCACAAGTCAACACTTCACAGCTTTAAAAACCGGTGTCTATCATCTTGAATTGCACCTGGAAAGAAACTGGAAGCCAATGCAGTTCACATTTCAGAGTATTACATGGGCAAACCTAGGCAGCCCATTATTGTGTGCACTGATGCATTCTAGACCAGTTGAAGTTTCCAAGTGGTCTTCAAGGGCAGCCCCATGTAGAGCTCATTGCAGTAATCCAAACAGAAGGGAACCAAAGCATGAGTGACTCAGAGTCAGGCCTCCTGGTCCAAGAAAGGGCGCAATTGGAGCACTAAATGAATCTGTGCAAAGCCCCTTCCCCCCACCCCAAGCAGAGTTACCACTGCTCGAGGGCCCCCAAACTGCATACCTGCTCAGTCCAGGGAAGTGCCACTCTGTCCAGAGTCAAAATGACCCTATCTCAGCTGATATACTATTAACTACCAGGCATGTCTTAAGTACACACATTAATCTTCTTTATCTACTCACATACAGAGATAAGATATATTCCAAGTTCTTTCTAACTTCAGGAAACAATAAGCGCACCAGTCAACAGATTTGTCAACATCTTCAACTTTTCTAGAAATGTGTGAGTACAAAAGATCAGGGACCAATGCCAGCCATATTTGCTTCATATCAAACTTACAATAAAGGCAAACATCTAAAATATGTTTACTTTATGATAATTTAAGGAACTGTACAACTCTCTAGAATTGCATATGGCACGTTAAAATATTTGTTTTTTAAATGTATAATCTAAAGCTTTGGTGTTTAGGAGGTGAAGGACAGAACAAGTTATCAAAACAAGTTACTAACATATTTAAGAAGCAATCTGTATGATCCAGGTGTAGGTCCTTATCTGTTATAATTTCTTTGAAGACATAAATCCTCCATACCAAGAGTGAGTTGACACACTCTTTTAAAACCAAATAGCCTTGAAATTATCTCTTCATGATCATGGAGATAAGATGAATGTGAGGTATCCACAACAGAATACATTCTCTTGATTAGTCTTTAACTTACAAAAATGCAGGCAGCCAAGCAGAGAAATACCATTCAAAGGAGATAGTCATTAGAACAACACACATCCTTAACAAAGTCAGGCTGGGCTTCCTTTTGTGGTACAAAAGGAACTATGGACACACTAGAGGGAAGTGAAAAAACAAGCCTATGTTTCTGTATTCAGAGGCAATTCTGACAAGTTTTTGTCAGGTAGTCACGCAACAGACAAACCACTATAAAACTTTTCTTATAGGCATTCAGGGAACATTTTACTGGCCATTTTTCTAAAAAAATAACTTTTTTCTTGTCAAATGACCAGGAAATTTATATTTCTTTTTTATATAAGGATCTAGAATCAGAACTTTGCCTGATAATTTTCCAATGGTACCGAAGGCCCTGAAAAATTGAGAACCCAAGAAAAATCAGGAAAAAGGAAGCCCGGGGACTTTCTGCTTTTCCAACGGAAAATTTGAAAGATTTTAGAGAATACTGAAAAGCTCCCTATATTTTCTTTTTTGAATGAGAGAAACATTTTATTCAGTGCAGTGAAAGGCAAAGATTACTGAAAGACTGCCATCAAATAGCAATACATTACTGAAGCATTGGATGTTTTTACTGTTTTATAAACATAGTTATAATTTAACACACTCCTTAATGTTGTCTGTGTTACCCTTTTTAGTACAAAGGTGTATTTTTGTAATATGTACTAATATTTGCAATTTCACTTTTAGAAAATTGTATTTGAATTCATTTACAATTGTACCCTCTTTCTGAGTAAATACACAGGATTCTTTAATACAGGATGAATATATTTGAGAATGTTACATACAAATAGGAGTAAAAGTTAAATGCAGACATGTATTTGTGATAAGTTTTCTGTTTTTTTCTCCCTTGGATAACACATTCAAAATTCCTGGAAAGATAATCTCCTAGAGAGAGAGTAACTTAAGCACTGAAGTACTGTATCAGAAAGGTTGCGAAACCCACACAGAAGTGGGAGAAATCAGCTGAGGTTCTACTTTGCATAATTCTTATGCCAGATCAGCACATGGCTACAGCACAGACAAATGCAAAGCCAAAGCAAACTACATTTTGGGCAGAAGAGATAACAAACACCGAACTATTCGGGGTTTTTTTTGTTTTTTGTTTTTTTAATTTCAAGCATTTGAAAAGTTCACCAATAACTGGGAGCTTGACTTAGCTTTAAGAATCCTGCTCCATGTGGTTTTTAATCTAATTCATTTTGCATGGTAGAGTAGGCAGGGAGTTAAAAGCTTGAATCCAGCAGGATTCAAGACTGTATTTACTTTTGAGCACATTAAACTGTTTGCATTAAGCATGCCCTCCCCACCCCCAAGTCACCTTTGGCAACAAGGAATCTCTCTTAGCCTCAATTAAGCATGCCAGGGTGAGATAATGGAGAGCAATCCATGGGGGACCTTGAAGTGGGGCATCTTATCTACAAACCTGGCCTGAAAGTGCTGGGCCCATAAAGATCTTCCTTCCTGTGAGGAGGCAGGAGGACAAGAAAATGAGAAAGAGGAGAGAGTAAGGGGGACCCTTTAGCTGGAATCTTCCCCAGGAAAGGCTTATATTGACAGCACAAGGAGAGGGAAAGAGTAACGGGCCCTACACCCCTTTGAGAACTCGAATCGATACCCCAAGCTCGAAAAGCCAGGCGTTAGTCTCCTCCACCACCACCCGCCTCTTCCCTAAAGGAACCCAGTCCAGCCTCCTCTCTCCAGCCCTCCAAGGCAGCCGCCTCACTGAGATCTCTCACCTTGACTCTGACCTCGTAGGTTGTAAAGCGCCCCCGCCCAACCCCCACCGTCTGGGGGTTGCTGACGTCGATCTCCAGGAAGTTGCTCGGGGGCCCGTAAGCGTCGTTGAGGTTCTGCGGCTTGGTTATGAGGCGCCTGGTGTCCGCAACGGTCTCAGCCATTTCTCTCGCCCTCCGCCTTTTGCGTCTGTCCAGCCGGGCGTAGCGGAGCCTCGCCGAGACAAACCGCCGCCGCCGCCAAAAGAGAGAGCAGGGCGGGGTCCAGGGCCGAGGGAAGGGAGAGGAGGTCGCTCGGCCGCCGGAACGCAACCGCCCTACCCCCTCCCGCCTTCTTATTTACGGGCGACCTGCCGCCGCGACGCCCCCGCGACACGCTCTGGCCCAGCCGCCGCCCGCGCACGGGGGTGGTGGTGGTGGTGGTGATGATGATGGTGGTGGAAGCAGCCACAGCGCGTACGCAAAGCATCTTGGGACTTGTAGTTTTCCCTTTGCCAGGGGCCCCCTGAATGACGAGGCCCAGAGAACCGCTCGCGAACTATAATTCCCGAAGTGCTCTCTAGTCCTGGCCAGGGAAAGTCAAGAGAGTACAAGAGAAACCTAAAGGCTTGCTTTGAGAAATCTCCGCGGGGGGAGAGAGAGAAAGGAAGGACGGGCGACTCGGAAGCCGAAGGATGCTCAGCAGGGAGAAGGGAGGGAGGTGGGCTACCCTGCTCGGTTTGTCCCTAGGATGCTTTGAATCAGAGCAACGCAAAAGTCTGGGACGTAGTCCGAAATGTATGGAAATGTCATTAAGGTGGGATAGAAAGTGGAAAGATCTGTCGGGTTGTCAGCCCACCAATCTCATATTTAGTAATTTATTTATTTATTTATTTATTAAATTTAAAATTAAGTGCGCCAGGGAAGGCAGCAGAGATTAGTCCTATATGCAGAGGAAGGGATACAGGCTTTAGGTGTGTCTAATTCTGTCTGGCAGAAGGCTACATTCTCCAGTTTGTGATTCACGGCCCCCAGCCCCCTCCTCCCCACAAGTGTATTGAAGGGAGGCCGGAGCTATGCTAGACCCCAGTTTAGAGGAACAATCACAGTTAAGGTCCTATTCTTCAATGCCTACAGTTTCTGTTAGAAATATTTTTAAAAAGAAGTTAATGGGAGAAATGTAAGTGGTAATCTAATTCTGCTACCTATTTGGGACGTTTATATGATCATCAAAAGATATACAGTACTCCTTGTGTATTTGAAATACACTAAACAGCAGTACATACAGTAAATACAGAGCAATGACATATAACTGATTCTGGGGGAAAAATAACGCATTCTGTCATCACCTCTATAATTGCCTGAAGCAGTTCAGAATTGTACACTTACTTGGAAGTCATGGGGTTTACTTTTGATTCAGACATTCATCTGGATAATTTACACAACCCAGTTTATGAATGGTGCAGTACTTCCTCAACTGCAAAACAGTGGCTGATTTCATGTACCATTCTAAGTTTGTGTTTTAGATTGATATATGAATCTAGTCAATTGATTCCTACTGTGATCTTTTTCATCTGCTTTAAAAAAAATTTACAGAAAGCAACAGAAGTGTGACATATGCTGATTGCTGTTGAAATGATTTTGAGTAGCTGCCATCAAGACAATTAACTTCCACAGAACGCAATTCATCTATGATACCTTTCTTCAAAGAACGCTTAAGTTCATCATGCTCATACAGCACCCTTCAGATTTTGAGGAAGGAAATTTAGTTAAGTCTTTCATCAGAATTCAGAAAAAAAGGGCTGAATCAGTGTTTTTAATATACAATTTGGAGAACGAGCACTTTCACAGTATCTTAAAATTGCAACTTTTGAAATATTCACTTTGAGCCTAATATGATTCCTAGAAATGACTCACAGTTGGGCCTGACCCAGCAAAAACAGAAAGCATGTATATTTACTATGGAAGAAGTGCCACAGCTTAGAACCACCATTTTAGAATGTGAGAATAAAACTGATATTTTTATTGCTTACAACTGACACATTCAACTTCTATCATCAGCTCTCACTATAACACATAAAAGTAAACTTATAAAAAACAGCAGTTATATTCACCAATAATTTGATCAAGAGTGTTGGAAGGCCATAGAGATGATCCTTCTTTATACATAAAGATAGAATCACCATGAGTAAACACCTTAAGAAATTAACTCAATACAAGAAAAAAACTATCATTCAAAAATCCTGGCTCATTCACTGGAAAGTGCTGATGCCTAAATGGGACCTGTCTTGATAATTCCCATATTTTTTAAAAAAAGGAATCAGAAACTTTTATCTAACTACCAGCCTATCAGCCTCCTCGGCATCATTAGCAATACCGAGCATCTATCTGTTAACCTCCTGGATTGGATAAATTCAGAAAATATATTGTGGAACAAATTGGATTTAGAAATGACCACACCCTCTTTGATCATGCTCTAATTTAACAACATCTGCAGAAAAGTACATTTTTAAACCATGGACTTTGCTCTATGTACCTTTTGATCTAATTTCTAGGTCCAATCTACGATGCAAACTCCTCTATACAGAGAGGACTGTTATTGCTTATCTATAAACATTATGATCAGTCTGTCATAAAAGTTAGATATACATTCCAAGGATAGGATGCCAATGAAATCCCTGTTAATAGAGATTCAGCTGCAATATAACTTTGCCCTGTGATTAATTATTGTATCAATCCTCTAGTTCTAATGAATGACTGTTCCTGCTTACCTACTTCATCCAGCTGTCTTGAATAATTTCCGTCTGGTCTCCAACCTTCGCTTCCTTGTGAAGGTTGTCGAAAGTGTGGTGGCACGTCAGCTCCCGATGGCCCTGGATGAAGCAGTTTACCTTGATCTGTACCAATTGGGTTTCAGGCCCGGGTACAGCACGGCATTGGTTGCGCTGGTGGATGATCTCTGGAGGGCTCGGGACAGAGATTATTCCTCTGTTCGGTCCTGTTGGAACTTTTGGCGGCTTTCGATACCATCGACCATGGTATCTTGCTGCGGCGCTTCGAGGGGTTGGGAGTGGGAGGCACCGTTTTACAGTGGTTCTCCTCCTACCTCTCGGGGCAGACGCAAGTGGTGTTGGCAGGGGGGCAGAGATTGACCATGAGGCCCTTCACTTGTGGGATGCCCCAAGGGTCGGTTCTCTCACCCCTTCTGTTCAACATTTATATGAAACCGCTGGGGAAGATCATCCGTGGTTTCGGGGTGAGGTACCATCAGTATGCTGATGATACTCAGCTTTTTATATCCACCCCGAACCAACCCAGTGATGCCCTCGACGTGATGTCCCGGTGCCTGGAAGTGGTGCAGATCTGGATGGGGAGGAACAGGCTTCAGCTCAAGCCTGCCAAGACTGAGTGGCTGTGGATACCGGCATCTCGGTCCGAAGGAGAGGTTCCATCATTGGCTATAGGGGGTGAAATCTTATCCCCCCGTAGACAGGGCACGCAACTTGGGTGTCCTCCTGGATTCACGGTTGAGTCTAGATCATATAACAACCGTGACCAGGGGGGCATATGCCCAGATTTGTCTGGTGCGCCGTTGCTACCCTATCTGGACCGAGATGCCCTACGCACAGTTACTCGTGCTAGTCACCTCCCGTATTGACTACTGTAATGCTCTCTACATGGGGCTGCCCTTGAAGACCACCCGGAGGCTTTAGCTGGTACAGAATGCAGCCGCGCGGATTGTGATGGGAGAATCCCGATACTCCCATGTAACACCTCTCCTGCGCGGCTTGCATTGGTTGCAGGTTGCCCTCCAGGTGAGATTCAAGGTGCTGGTAATGACCTATAAAGCTCTCTACATGGCTTAGGCCCAGGATACTTGGTGGACCATCTGCAACCAGCAACAGCTTCCCATCGCCTGGTGCGTTCCCACAGGGAGGGCCTGCGCCAGGTACCGTCAGCTAGACAATGTCGGCTGGCAGCCCCCGGGGTGGGCGCGCCCACCCTTTGGAATCAACTCCCCCTGGGGCTCCGGCTGGCTCCTGACCTCCACACCTTCCGCCGCGAATTAAAAACATGGCTGTTTGCGGCTCCTAGCCTGGACTGAGGGGGGGTTTCAATTATTTTAACGGGTTTTAATATTTGTTTATATATGTATTTTATGTTTTTATTGGTTTGTTTTAATTGTTGTGAGCCGCCCTGAGTCCTATGGAGATAGGGCGGCATATAAATTATATTAAATAAATACTTTAAATTAGCATATTTCAACTCTATGTGGAAAATGTATTTATATACTTTCTTATCTCTGGCTTAAAAGAGGTACTGCAAATGTTGGACGATTACTGTGCCTTACAGCTACCCTAGAAGGGAAATACAAAACCATCCCATTTAGGCTAAGGTTTTGCCATGTTGAAATCATAATATTTCTTATTATATTGCTGATTATTATGCTGTCACACATTCAGAATTAATAGCCCCACATCTAAATAAATTCCCCAGTCATTGTGACTGCTTTTATTCACAAGTTATTCTATTGTTTTAAGTGTAATTAAATTTTCTTTAAAATTCCCTCTAATATTTAGGGTTTGTGATTTGGCTTATTGAGTTTTATTATGTATTGGCTGTTAGTCACAATAAAGATGTTCTTCAGTACTTACATTAAAAAAAAACGAAAAGGCACTTTCATGAGTATTGTAGTATTAAAACTGTGATTCAAGTACACTTGAGTTTACTGCCAACCAAAACACAAGAAAATAGAAATAGCTGTGCATCTATATCCCTATACATATATATTGAGAGTAGAGGAAATGACAAAATGTATCTGGAATTTTACCATTAATAATGCAGTTAGAATACAGTATATTTCATGTGAATAAGTTTAATTTGAAAGCTTTTATAAAATATGGGTGCTTATGACGTTAAAAGTCATCATCAGTAAAAGCCATACAGACACCACATAATTAATGATATAAAACCAATCCCTTTAATATCTTCTTAATCACGTTAACATCTAAAACAATCAGAAGATGAGACAAATTTCCTTGTGGCACCGATTCCACGATTTGGATGCTACAATCAAAAAGGCCCTGTATTTTTCTCAGTAAATAAATTAACAAGTATAATGCTTTTAACTCATTAGTTTAATTGGGTTCTCTTTATCTAGTCTTAGGACTTGTGTGGAGAAGATATCTTAGGTCACACGTGCAGAAATATTGAAAATTCAAATGAGTTCACACACCATTAAGAATCACCCTAAATAACCAAATTTGCAGGGTCTTTACAGAAGATAATGGAAGCTGATGGGCCCCTTATGAGATTGGTAGAAAAGAATATATCTTGTATTCAACATCTGTCTTATAAAAAGCCATATCTATAGATAATTATTAGTGTCTCAGGCAATTTTGTATCTTTTTGACTGTAGTGTTTACTATTTGCC